CTGAATGAAGCTGAAGCAAAATAATGAAGACATAAGATGAATTCTGCTACGCTGTAGAACAGTTGTTAATACCGAAGAGATTCAAGACTTTTCTCTGAGCTAGAGTCTTTTTAAACTTGTTTTAATATTTATACCTTAATTTATCTTAATTTTGTTTGTTATCCTGTATTTTTACTGATTTTGTGAAATAAAAGATCATGTATTTAAAAAATTATTATCATTATTACTATTATCACAAAATTGATGAATATTGTTTCCAACATCTTGCCATATAAATTAGTATCTTTTTTATAGCTAGGCATGACTCCTTTATACACACATATACTGTAGGTATATATACTGACCAAGATCCTTACACAAAAATCAAGTTTTCACAAGGTCTCCTAGTTATTGTGCTGATAATCAGACTAGATTTCTGTGCCTCTCTTTATCAACTGGATTCCCTTGGAGCAACTACATGGCATTCCTGCTACTACTATAAAATGCTATATTAATTTTGAGAAGCCTCAGCTGCCTCAATTAGGAGGATTGTACAGAACGATACAACACCTCTTCAGAAAATCGTCGAGCACCAATTAAAGCACCGTCTGTCATCAGTTCTCCTCTAATGAATAAAGGCCACTCAGAACTGTCTGTCATTGTGATTGTAGACAAGTGAGGAATTTGATTTTTGACAACTTTGACTTTAAGTTGCAGGTGTTTGGTATGACTGAAGAGCATCCTACATATAATGATTAGATGTGCAGTGTGTTTCACACCCATCTGTTGAAAACCCTGTTTCAGGAAACCACTTGTGTTTGGGGCCAGCCACTTTGATCATTGTTTTTGCAAGTTTGGTGGCTCCTATAGAGCTGTTGTTGCCCACAAGCATAACATTATTTTTTTTCTGCAAGTGGTGTTAAACTTTCTTCCATAAGACCCATTCAACCAGCAGGGAATATTTACTCTAATGAAAATCTGTTTACAGTGTCTCCTCCAGCTGGACATATCACCAGCACTCCACCACAAGACAGAAACATACCACACTCTCAAGAAATTTCCAGGAATGAAAAAAAAGGCACTTGTATCAGGTATCCCTTCTCCTGATCAAATAGTCTGGTTCTAGAAACAACCCAACCAACAAACTAAAGATATCCTCATGTTTAATGTAAAATCTGACAGGAATGAACAAAATAGTGCTTGAACAATACCAGAGTAAGATCAAACACAAGTCTAAGTCAGTAGATATGATGTCCATACTATTACCAGTACAAAATTAATATAGATAAAGATTCGCATTATTCTCAGTTTTTAATACGAGTTTACAGGGGTGTACATTCAGTGATGGCACCACTATAAAGAACTTTCTGAAGACTCCACGCGTGATTTCTTTAGATCTCTTTCCAAAAACTTTTTTACAAAATTTGATTCCCCAAACTTGGATTGCAGCTTATCTACTAGTGCCGCTTATACGCCAGTGTTTACAATATGTTATATTAAAAATTTCCTGTTATGACTTTCGATTTTTGGCTACCTCAGTGCCACTGACAAAGTTAGTATTTTTGGAAAAGATCTGACATGGCCATCCTCCCAAGAGTGTTATTCTTTTAGATTAATGGCAATCTTTACAAGTTTTATCCTCATTTAAGGTGTTAGAATATTGCATTTCTATTCCCTCACCAGGTTTTTACATAATAATCTTTTTTCGATGAAATCGACAATGGAACTCTTTATAGCAAACAAGGGAATTTCTATCCATGGTTGAGTGCTATAAGATCATATTCAAACTGAATGGTCTACATTTCAGTAACTGCTTTGAACTGCGCAGGAGCACCTAAGACAAGATCCAACCATCAGCATAAGAGACAAATCAAACACAATTAAACTGTTTTAAATATTCCTTCTTTGTTAGAGAAATAAAGTTTTGGAACATACAGGTTAAAAAAAAATTTAACTTTACAGCTGATGAGGACCTACTATATTATCTACGTAAAATAAGATAATTAAACCCAGAGTAAATTGTTAGATAATAAATAGAATTAATATAAATAAATATAAATGTGTCATAATATATCAGAAATGGTAGAAATTTGAATTCTTATTACAAACAACAGAGGCCTTGGTTAGCTCAATTGGTTAGAGCGCCGGATTGTGCTGTGCGGGAGGTAGAGGGCTCAAGCCCAATACTCATTGGGCTCAAGCCCAATACTCATGGTCTTAAAATAACTGAGGAAAATTTGCTACCTTTCTAAAATATCAAGAAATGGATAGAGATTCTAGTTCTATCCTGTCATCAGTCATACGTCACTACAGAGTCACATGAGAAGCACGCGCGCTTGCTTATCTAGCCATTGTACGTTCGCTTTCTTAGCCTGCAGTATAGAACCACAGTGGTCCAGTATTCAAACCTTTTGTAGCAAGTAGACACCCAGTCCATATCATCTCTTTACCCTCTGCTAATTATTCTATCTTAGTTTTTCACAGAAATCTAGCTGACTCTTATTATTATCATGGCCAACGAGGCAACGCGAATAGTTGTTGAAGCCGAAATGACAGGCCAACCTGGCTTTTCGAGCAGTCAACCTGACCATTCCAGACAACCTGCCGAAATTGAAATAACTAGCCAACCTGGCACTGAAACACTACGCGAGACCCTCGCAGAAATGAACAAATCTATAAGCTCTATAGCAACACTCCTCGAACAGTTTGTTACTCGCAGGGAGCCTCCCCAAGGTTGTACACAACAATACGACGTCGAGGATGAGGAATCCGAACCCGCGCCAAAACGTCGACGCGACTTTGATGAGCTTAGCACCACAGCTTCGGACCAAGATATCGACGATTTGATCAATCCTTCGGGTACCTCCGCCGAGGATGAGTCGCCAACCCAAACGGCCAATGAGCCTGATGAATTTATCAAAAGTCTCGAAGCAGAATTTGCCGACTCCGTTCCAGTTGGGCCGGAAATCAACCAAAGCCTAGCAAACATTGCGAAGAAACGCTGGGGAATAACTTTACCGCCAGAAAAGCTAAAACCACTGCTTGAAAAGCAGGCTCAGCCCGAAAACTGTTAGCTCCACGTGGCTCAGGTCAACAAGGAAATCTGGGGTCAATTAGCAAACCACCAGAAGAAAGCAGAAAAACGCCTACAGAATATACAGGAAACCGTTCAGAAGGCTTCCTTCGTGCTGCTTCAGTCATCTGAGCCATTCGTTGGCGATATTTCCGAAACTCTTTTGGCCCAAAATATTGATGCTGTTGCTTTATTAGGCCCTGCTGCGGGAGATATCATTGGCTTGAGGCAGGAACGCATTAGACCAACGCTGAAACCAGAATATGCTGCCTTGTGTTCAAAAGAATCACAAGATAATGTTTCAAAACACCTCTTTGGCGAGGACTTGGCGAGGCATGTACGTAATGCCAAGGAGACGAGCGCAATCGGCAAAAAGATTGGCACCAACGCACACAAAAAGCCAATGGGACCCCCCCGCCCATGCTAATAGAAGAATGAGTTCCGCCGCGATAGAGGCAAGTCCAGTAAAGGCTTCTATAGCGATTACTACAGCAAGGATCGTTTTTTAGTGAAAGGCCAGAAGAAGCCTCAAGGGAAACCGAAGGCGAAAAAAAAATATCCATGCTGCGCGACATAAAAAATTTGGTAAGTAATCACGGGTGCATGCGCGCAATTCAAGGCGGGTCGTGTCCAAAAGGCCATTAATGCGTGGCAGGACATAACATCTGACCAGGAACTATTATCCATTGTGAATGGCACGACAACAGAATTTGATTCGCCACCGAGCTTTTCACCTCTGCCTAAATCATCCTTTTCCTCACTCGAAATTCAAATTATTGACGAGCAACTATCCATTATATTGAATAAGTTTATTGTAGAACCAACAACTCATTGCCAGAGTGAATTCATATCGTCCATCTTTACGCGTCCAAAAAAGGAACTCATCGCATGATTTTAAGCCTTAAGAAACTTACTGAGTTTGTTACATACCGTCACTTCAAGGTGGATACTTTACAATCTATCCTAAATCTAGTTAAGAAGGACTGTTACATGGCATCTCTTGACCTGACAGATGCCTATTATTCGGTCGCCATTTCGCCTTCTCATCGCAAATACCTTTCTTTCCGGTGGCGGGATAAGCTTTACAGGTTTACATGCCTGCCTAATGGTTTATCATCATGCCCCAGAATTTTCACGAAACTTCTAAAACCAGCTTTAGCTACTCTGCACGAATTAGGCCATATCGTAGCTAGCTATATTGACGACCTTTTTCTCCAGGGACAAACGTATGATCAATGTGTCCACAACGTCATCGACACATTCCTTCTGTTTGACAGATTAGGATTCATTATTCATCCAATCAAATCCGTCTTTACTCCTTCGAAGGAAATTGCCCTTTTGGGTTTTATTATTAACTCGGCCGACATGACCATTAGACCCACCCCCGAAAAAAAGCTTCTGCACTTAGAGCGGATTGTTTAACGCTTTCCCGCTCAGAATCGCCGACCATTCGCGAAGTCGCTCAAGTCATGGGGAAAATCATCTCCTCTTTCCCCTGTATTTCCGACATTTGGAAAGAGACAAAACTACCTCTCGCATCACGGCGATTTCGAAAAACATACCTCCCTATCTACGGAGGCCATAGGCGATTTGACATGGTCGTCAGAAAACGTGATTAACGCCAAAAATGTAATAAGTCACACTCTCCCTTCGCATATAATTACAACAGATGCGTCACGCACTGGTTGGGGGG